TAATCTATTCTCGGCCCGGAGTATGTTGAGCTCTGCTCTTTGTTAAGAACAGATAATAAAATTTTTCTCAGCGCCCTCCTAGCCCACTTGGCAGAACATCCCGTTTGCAGGCAAGTCCTCCCAAGGACAGCAGACACCTTGTTTTCAAGCAGGTCCGCTGTTACCTATCTATACCTTGACAGAATATCCTGTTTGCAGGCAGACTCCGTCAAGGACAGGAATAGTAACGCAGTCACATCTGATTCTCTACAACTGGGATTACAGGTGTATGCCATTGCTCCCAGCAGATGTTGTAATTTTTCAGAGTAATTTATTGAAAACTTTGAGTTGAAACTAAAAATTTGTTGAAAGTAAACTGACAATACATGTGTAGGGGCTATTTCTGTACTCTCTCCTTTGCTGTCTCTAACCTTTCAATACTATTTCAATACTTCCAATACTAATCAATACTATGCTTTTGATTGGTATGGTACTATAAGCAGTCTTAAAAATCAGACAGAATCTCTCAAATTTGTTGTTCTTTCCATAATTTATTAAGGATTCTTTTAGGTCCTTTGAATTTCCATGTGGATTTTAGAATTGGTTTATTGATTTATTTTTAAAAAGAAAAAAAAAAAACTTAAGTCTCCAGTCCCCCTGCACTGATTGTGTGAGCCAATAGAAAATCAGGGAGGATGGTAAATCATGGTATTGAGTCAATGGCACTCTGACAAACTAAGGCCACAGGTTTAATGGGTCCCTCTCCACAAAACTGCACTCACTGAGGATGTCAGCTGTGAGTCTCTGGGCCCAACTTGTACTTCTGGGTTGACAGCTGTAATTTGGGGAATTTCCATGACCCCCTTAAATTTGATAACTTTGATAGAATGACTTATAGAACTCACTAAAAGTGCTATTCTCTATTTATGATTCCAATTTTGTTTTAAAGGACAAAATGCAGAAATAGCCAAATGGAAAAGACACATAGGGCAAGGTCTGGGACGGTCCCAGATGAGGAGACTCCGTGGCCTCTCCCCATGGATTCAGGGTGTGTCACAGCCTGGTTTACCAATACACTCAGCACCCACAACACGCAACCAAGCCTTCCTGTGCAGAGTTGACTGGGCCTCATTTATGGTCAAGATTAGTTAAATCATAAGCACATGACTGACCTCAGTCTCTTCTGGGCCCTCTTCCCTCCCCAAAGATCAGTCTGGTACAGTTTCAACCCTCTAATCACATGGTTGGCTTTTCTGGTGGCCAGCCTCCATTCTTGTATTATGGGAGCCCACCATAAATCATCTTATTAGCATAAGAAAGACAAACCTCTGGAAGAGTCCGAAAAGTTTGAAACCTTGAGCCAAAAAGAACCAGATATATTTCTTATCATACTTTACTTTCTATTTAACATATATTAAGATTTCCAATTGTCAAACCAACCTTACAGTTTACATGTGTACACACATACATCAATTTAATTTACTGAAAATCTTTTTAAGAATTTTGTTGGCTTTTTTTGGCATTTACTTTCTTGTAGTGGCCTTTAGTTTTCTTTTAATATCATTAACTGGTTTTGTTATCCATGTAATAATTACTTCACAACATATTTGGAATGTATTCTATCCTTATTTCTTGGAAGAGTTTAATAGAATACAAATTATTTCTTCATGAAGTGTTTTGTAGAATCCATTAGTGAAGCCATCTTGAAGTTTTTGATGGGGAGACTTATATTTACACATAGATTAGCTTTGCCTATTATCTGGAAATATCAATCAAGTATCTAGCAGAGGAGTTTTTTCAGATTATCTATTTGTTTCTGAGTGAACCTGGTCATTGATATTTTTCAATCAATTAAAAAAATTATAGTTGTAGATGAACAGCATGCCTTTATTTGTTTATTTTGTATGCAGTTTTAAGGATCCAACTAAGTGCCTTACATGTGCTAGGCAAGCACTCTGCCACTGAGCCCCAGCCCCTCGATCAATTTTTGTTCTCTTATTTTCAGTTTACTGAGGAAGAATTGCTTAGACACATGTTATCCATTTATTTTTTATTTTAAAACAGGGTCTCACTGAGTTCAGGCCTCAATAAGTTGCAGGGCTGGCTTTGAACTTGCAATTCTTCTGCCTTGGCCTCCCGAACCACTGGGATTACAGGCATGTACCTCTGTACGGGCTGCCCCAGGTTACTGTGAAAATCAATTCTAGGTTCTAGTGCTAGGATGGAAAGCCCAGGCAGAGACCCAAACTCACTATATACTTGTCAGAAGCTGGCATCGGGGCTTGCCAAGGTAGAGAGAACACAGAACAAGAAACCAGAGATGTACACAAGGCCATTTCCAAATATTCAGCTAAGTACAGATCTGAATATGCATGTAATACCTCACAGAGGACAGCCAAAGAGCCAACAGAAAGGATCAGATCAGCAGAAAGGATCCTCTTAAGGCTTGGAGACCAGAGAACTCCTGATCCAACCAGTTTGAATGGAAATGTTCAAAATTTTTCATGAGGCATCAGGAAATAAAATTCTTCTGCCTTATTAGATGGGGAATAAAAATGCTTGGAATCAAGGCCTTAAAAGATCATATTGTTTCCAAGTAACTTAATGTAACAGAAAAAAAAAAAAAAAGAAGAGAAATACAAAAGTTTTCAATACCCAAAGAGGCAAAATTGAGTGTTCAATCAAAATTATACCATGTTAATTGTACCACATCAAACAAGGTAGACTTTAGGGCAAAGAATACTGCCATAGATAAGGAGGGTTGCAATGATAAAGAAGATAACTCATTAAGTGGACATAACAATAGGAAATATTTATTCACCAAATAAAACAGCATCAAAATACATGAAGAAAAAAATGATAGAACTGTACAAATAGGTAAATCTACTTTTACATTCAAATATAGAAACAATTATTTTCAAATAATTGATATAAACAATTCCCAAACACAGAAAATCAGTGAGGATACAGAAAACTTAGACAATCTTATTAGCTTCTTGACCTTTGACACGTACAGAACCCTTCACCTAACAATAGTACAATACACAGACTTGTCAGGTGAATCTGCAAATCTTGCAGATAGATAGTCATATTCTGGGCAATAAAGAAAGTTTCAATAAATGCAAATGATTCAAGTCATACGGTATGTGCTCTAAAATGGAATTAAATTATAAATTACCAGAAAAAAAAACAAAGAAAAACATGAAATATTTGGAAACTAAATAATACATTTCTAAAAAGAGCCATATGTCAAAGTAGGAATTTACAAAGAAATTTTAAAAGATTTTAAACTTAATTAAAATAAAAACACAATATATTAAGTTTCATGGGAGAGAAATAAAATAGTCCTTATGGGACAATGCTACCATTATGCATCTATATTAGAAAAAAAAAAGCCAAGGGTGTCAAATGAAGGACCCCTTTCATATTAAAAAGTAGCAAAAAAGAAATGAAATCCAATAAAAGCTGAAGGTAATAATAAGGGTCAGACTGAAAGAGAAAAAAGAAATAGAAAATAGAGAAATTAATGAATCCATGTGCCTTAAGATCATAAAATTGATAAATCTCTATCAAAACTGATCAGAAATAAAACATACTGTGCAGACAACATCAGCATCACGGCATGACCACATGTAGCATGACTACAGATTCTAGATACTGCTAATAATAAGGGAATTTTGAACATTTTGACTACTTAAATAAAATTAACAAACTACTCCTTGCAAGACATAATCCATCAAAACTTGTTCTTGACAAGAAAGAAAGAGGAGGAGGAGGAGGAGGAGAAGAAAACTACTATGAAATCAATCTTATAGTTAAAAAACTTCCACACAAAACAAATTCCAGGCCCAGACAGCTTCGTTGGTGAATTCTACCAAAAACTTAAGGAAGAAATATCAATTTCACAAACTGTTTTGGATGATTAACTGGCTCCCAAATCATTCTGTAAAGCCAACATTATGCTGGAACCAAAGCCAAGCCCAGGCGTTAAAGAAAGTTAGGAACCGACATCCCTCACAACTGTGAATACGATACAATACCTAAACAAATCCACCAGTGTATAAAGAATAACACATCACTACCAAAAGGGTCTTCTCCTAGAAATGCAAGGTTGGCATCACACTGAAAACTCAATTAGATTCACCATTAAAAGACTAAAAATGCAGAGGGGGCTGGGCTCAGCAGTAGCACACTTGCCTGGCATGTGTGAGGCACTGGGTTTGATTCTCAGCACCACATATAAAATAAATAAAATAAAGGTCTACCAACAACTAAAAAACATATTTAAAAGACTAAAAATGAAAACAAAGCACAGATTGCAGTCACCAATATCCTAGGAATACCATCCCCCCCCCCCCCCCACACACACACACACAAATCCCTACCTCCTTGTATTTACTCTGTCAGGCAGTCCCTTCCACCTTTACCAGGACTAGTCATTGCCACCTACAGAATGTGTTACAATCAAGTGTTACAACCTGCACCTCTAAAATGGAATTAAATTATAAATCAATAATGAGTCAGACACTGCAATTTGGGTCCTGGGTGAGTCTCTCCAAATGACTTGCTTTGGAAATATTTCTCCATATTGGAATACACTCACAGTATAAAAGAAAAAAAATAAATCTCTAACACACAAGACAACATGGATGAACACAAATAATCAGAATTAAAGAAGTCAGATACATCAGAGGACATATTGCATTAGTTCACATATATAAAATCTAGGAAATGCAAACAAACCTACAGTGACAGTAGATCAATGATCGCCTGAGGACAGGACAGGGAGAGAAATTATAAAGGGAATCAAGAAACTTTCGGCTGCCCAGGTGCAAATATGTATCAAAACTTATGAGACTGGGGGGCTGGGGTTGTAGCTCAGTGGTAGAGGGCTTGTCTAGCATGTGTGAGGCACTGGGTTCAATTCTCAGCACCACATATAAATAAAATTCTATTAACAACTAAAAAAATAAAATTAAATTAAAAAAACATGAAACTGCACACTATAATTATGCCCCATTTGTCGCAGAAAATATTTAGAATGATATCTCTGAGAGTGACCTTAGCCACAAGAGACAAAGGTGTGGGAGTCTTGAGAATTTCCGCAAACCCTCATAAAGCCAAAACGATAGAAACATTTGTGGAGATACTTTTATTTATCTATCTATCTATCAATTTATTTTTGAGATGGGGATCCCATCATGCAACCCAGGCTTATCTTGAAATCTGAGTTCAAGTGATCCTCCTGCCTCAGCCTTCTGGATAGCTGGGACTACAGGTATGGCACCACACCTGCTACTATGGATAGTTTCCATCCCTGTAGTCGGCTGCCCTCTCCTAACTCCCTGTACCAACTGTGATCACACCTTTTCCATCCACGAAACACCAGAGGTATCTGTTTACCAAATAACCTATTTCAGGTCCAAAGGGTCAAGTTCTCTGCAAAAGGGCTGAGAAACATGAAATGTCCTTTGAGAACAGGGACCCAATTCAAGATGCTCCCAGACACAACAGAGATTGTCAAAATTCCCACTGCTTAGGGTAACTTTGGTCACATAAATACTCTTGGCATATAGATCCCAAGATCGGATCTGCAAAGATCAGTATTCTTTCCTAGGAGAGTGCAAGCAGCAATACATGTGAGGCCAACACTAGATGAGGGCTATTCTTTGCCATCCTCCTAGCATCCGAGACACCAACAGCTAGGGCTCTCACAAAACGTCTTCATCCCTTCATGCCAGTGGAATCTAATTCTGCTCCCAGACCAATCCACAAGTGAATCCCCAAGATTAAATATGATGTAGAAATTAAGACATCTGTTGCCAAGCCAGAACAATATGAGGCAGGCAATTTCAGTTTAAGTGTCTGAGAAGCTAGACCAATCCATCACAGATGCCACCTGAGACCAACCATGTCCATGTAGAAGGGAAAGCTGTGCTGGCAATCAGCAGAATCCTACTGGCCCAAACCTGACCCAATCCAGGCTTAATCGAGTCAGGGGAGGGGCAGGAGAGAGAGAGAGTGCTCCACAGCCTTGGGCTACTCATGATCCCATGGAGGGACACAGAGGTGTGGCTTTCACACACACTGGAGTGCACAACACAAGGCTCTAAGTGCCAAAACAGTGCCTCCTCTCAGAGGCAATGCCAGAGATACAATTCTGGCAAGGGTTCTGGCAGGTCAGAAAATGCAACAAAGCCCCAGAAAGCTTCCAGCACAGCTGGCATTCAGGATTTCCCCAGGATGGATGTCTGAGGCTCAACCTCTGGCTGAGGGCTCTGCACAAGGGCTGCTTCCTAATCTGTTCTCAAGTACCAGTCATGCTGAACAGGACATGGCTGCAGCTGCCAACTAAGGCCTTGCTCCAGTGTGGACTTTCCAGTGGCGGATGAGAGAAGCCCTTTGCCTGAAGGCCTTCCCACACTCACTGCACTTATATGGCCTTTCCCCAGTGTGAATCCTATGGTGCTGAACAAGTACATGTTTGTGACTAAAGGCTTTTCCACATTCATTGCACACGTATGGCTTTTCACCATTGTGAACCCTTTGGTGAGCAATAAGATCGGAGCTTTGGCTGAAAAACTTTCCACATGCAATGCATTCATAAGGCCTTGCTCCAGTGTGAACACTCCAATGTTTAATGAGCCTATACTTGTGACCAAAGTATTTTCCACATTCACTGCATTCATAAGGCCTTTCTCCAGTGTGTACGCTCTCATGCTGAACAAGTGTGGATTTGTGGCTATAGGCTTTCCCACATTCACTGCATTTGTAAGGCCTCGCTCCAGTGTGGACTCTCTGGTGGACAATAAGGTTAGAGCTATGATTGAAAACCTTTCCACATATGCCACATTCATAAGGCATTTCTCCAGTGTGAATTCTCTGATGCTGAGCAAGTATGGGTTTGCGGCTGAAGGTTTTCCCACATTCACCACATGCATAAGGTCTTTCTCCAGTGTGGACTCTCTGGTGCTGAACAAGTGAGTCTTTGCGGCTGAAGGCTTTCCCACATTCACTGCATGTGTAATGCCTCTGTCCAGCAGGAATGGTCTCCTCATACCTGGTATTACCATGTGGATCCCACTCACTGTGAGGGTAATGGTGTGGGAAAATGCTTGAGCTGCTTGGGGAGTCTTTACAACTCTTCCTTGTCATAGAAAGCATCTCTGAGGGTTGGACAGGACAGTGGTTCACAAGAAAGGTACTGCCCTTGTCCCTTCCAGTGGGTTTCTCTTCACTGGGCTGCTTGTGGTGCTGGTGAAGGTTTGCCGTGAACCAGAACTGTTTCCCACATGCCATGCACATGTATGGTTTCTGCCCAGGGTGTGTGTCCTGGTGCTTGGCCACGTGTGAAATATCTTTCAAGAGTTGACCACACATCTCACAGAGGTGGGACTCCTGAGTAGAAAAGCCTCCCTTGGGAGTCCTGGTCTGCGATACTTCCTCTGTAAAAATGCTCTGCTTAGGTGCCTCCTCATCCCGTACTCCATGCCAACAGCCTAAAAGCAGAGAAATGCTGGTGAAGTACAAATTGACAAGTATTACGAGTACCCTCATTAAAAATGTGCATCAACGACAACTAAGATCATAAATCACAGGAGGTCAGGACAACAGGCCTGAAATTAGGTTCAGTAGAGGTCTGCTGTGCAGTAGCTGGTATCTGAAGATCATGGAATGGAGGAAGCCTTCATGGGAGAGGACACAAATGTGAGGAACAGCACAGGAAGATGATGTAGGGTCCCTAATTAAGTCTTTTACAATCAAATTTCCTTGGCTTCTTGGGACAGGTGAGAGTTGTACAGAAGGATCACGTTCACACTCAAGACAATCAAAGTGCTACTGGGTATCTGTTGTTTAAGGACCGTGCAGGGCATGTTCACTGAGATCAGGCTAATGTTGAAGAGTATTGAGGAGGAAGCAATGGAGAGGAACAGCTGAGATGTAGAGGCAGAGACATGGAATGGCTAGAGACCAAAGATCAGAGAGTAAGACAAACGTGTAAATAGGAAAGTAGACAGAACTGAAGTATGGCCAGTGACCTTGGCACTAAAACAACTGTGGGCATAGAGAGGTTATGGAATGATTTAAACTCAGCCCTGACATCATAGATAAGTTCCCCAGCTTCCCCTCCCCAGGGTCACACTTACCTAGAATCTCTCTGGCAATGGCTGGAATTATGTCCACCCAGTCAGGTCCCCAGGACTCACTGCCCAGCTCCAGTGAAGCAACTCTATGAAACATGGATGATGCGTGTCCTAAGGGTAAGACAGGACAGATAAATGGCCATCACTGGTCTAGGTGACCCACCCTACAGAGAAGAAAAGTAAATATTATATTCCACTGGCTGACTGTAGGACACGTGGCTCCTGGCTTTATCTCTGCAATCCTTTGGGATGGCAGGTTCTGGGACTCCTGAAAAGCAGGAGGCAGAAATGCACAGAACCCAGGTCCAGCATCCAGAGCACCAGCTCCAGGGAACTGGGAAGGAGGTAGTACACCTGGCTGCCATGTAAGAAGGACATGGCTGCCCTGGGGAACAAGGAAAGGGAAGAGTCCAGTTCAGGACACTGGGGCGGGTATAAGGGCCTTACCCAGGGAGGCCATAAGAGCAAAGTTCTCCAGCATCACATCGCGGTACAGGTGCCTCTGAGCCTCATCAAGGAGTTCCCACTCTGCCTGGGAGAAGTACAGGAACACATCCTCAAAGTTCACCTGCCCCTGCCACGATGGGGAGAGCCAAGTCCATGAAGTGCCTCTCTTCCAAGGGGCCCCTTCCTGTCCTGACCACACCCTCCCACCACAGGAAACACCAGAACCAGGTGCCACGAGTGTCTTCCTCCTCGTGACCCTCCTGACCACCGAGCCTACCACAGCCCAGGCAACTGGGCTCTAGGCTTCACACACAGGGTCCACCTTGTGTCAGCTGATTCCCGTTAGGCCTGGACCAAGTGTCCTGTACGACCCCACCGTCCCGGGGACCACACGGGAAGGGGGCTCAGGGCAGCATCCCCACCGGGTAGGTCCCATAATTCTCCCAAGTTCACAGAAACTGTGAGAGGCAGGAAATCCCCAAAGAGCCCCAGGCTCTGCCTGCCCGCCTTCTGCCCACAGAGCGAGGGGGCTGTCCGCTCGGCCCCTCCGTTTCCACCCCTAGTCTTCCTCCGCCATCGCCCTCTGCTCTTCCCTGGGATGGACCCCTCTAACCCTCGGGGCGCCTCCCCCGTGGGAGCCTCCCCGGGCTCCCCTCAGCCCCCCAACACAGGCCCAGCGCCTCGCCCGCGCGCCGCTCCCTCCGCTCCCTCCGCCCCGCACCTCCGAGCCTGGGCTGCGGCGGCCCCACAGGGGGGCTTCAGATGCGCGGTCGCGGTCAAACCGGGGATGCACCCACCTGCGCCGGGTCCCTCGGCGCCGCCGCCGCCATCGGGCCGGGGGCTGGCCGGGTGACTAGGGCGGGGGCCGGGATCCGCCCTGCGGGGCCCCGCCCCGCGCCCGGGTCCCTCAGGCGGCGCCACCGCGGAGCCCGCGGCCCGCTCCGTTCAGGGAAGACAATGCCTCGGCTCCCGACTTCCCGTTCCTGTCACCACGGGTGTGACACGGCGTTCCTGAGACTGATCTACTAGTCAAAAAGCCAACAAGATGTCTCCCGCGAAGGGAGTAGGAACTTCCGCCGAACCACTTCCGCTAGAGCGGGAACGCCCCTTCCTGGGTCTTGATTGACTCGGAGCTGCTGAGGCTTCTGGGTAGTGTAGTTCTCATGGCTCTAGCGGTAGCTCGTGGCCGAGGGCCAAACCTTCGGAGTCGGAGCCCAGCTGTGCCAATAGCCGGGCCCGGAATTGGCGTCTGGAGTCTGTGTACTAGGCTGAGCTTTGCTTTTTCTGAAGAGCTGTTTCTGTTTTTGATGAGTGTAGTCTGTAACACATCACAGAAATACTTACCATTTCAGCCTCCTTATGCAGAAAATCCTCATCTTAAAAAATATAGAAATGGACACACTCTGTTTTAGTCTGCTTTTTCACTGCTGTGACTAAAGAACCGGATGAGAACAAGTATAGAAGGAGAAAAGTTTATTTGAGAGCTCAAAGTTTCAGAGGTCTTAGTCCATTAAAGGCCCACTCCATTCTTCAGGGCTGGAGGTGAGAAGAAAATGCTGGTGGAAAATCATGGCAGAGGGAAGCAGCTCCACCTGCAGGTACTAATATCTGCCAGAAAGCCACGCCTGAATTCCCACCTCCTCTAGCCACACCCTACCACTTCAGTTAGTCCCTAGCAGGAGATTAATTCACTGATTAGGCTAAGGCTATAACCCAATTAGGTCTTCTCCAAACCTGCTTGCATTGTCTCACACGTGAGCTTTGGGGGATACCACATCTAAACCATAACACACTATCTGTGCTAATATCATTCAGACTTCTGCAGCTGGAAGCTAATAAATGTTATAATGTTTTCTAATACATTTAACCTAAAGCTCTAGACCTAGTGTTCAGAGCCTCAACGTTTTGGATTAGGCACAAGACAGACAAGACTCCAGACACGGCACAGGAAACATGGAATAGCAATGTTTGAAGGCCCCGAAGATGTAGCTAACTCTTGTTCTGTGGTTACCTCATGCAGGTGGCCTTGGGCTCAATCCCTTTCCCTGAGATCCTCATTCTTTCTGTTGTTTTCTCATTTTCATACTTTTCCAGCTGTAGAAGTGTGAATGACATAAATTCCTGGACTGTGGATGTAGCTCAGTACCACAAACACAAAATATATTTCTCCTGTGTATAGTCAGTGATGGGTCAAACTTAGTAACACACTTTTTAAAATAAATTTTATACTCCATACATCGGAATCTATTCAATCACTTTTAGTATTTAACAAGTATATAAAAAGATGGGCAATTTACCAATGGTCATTTAATAATGAAAAGACAACATGAACAATTTATGTGCAGAAGAAATAATCAGCAAATCAAATTTCTATACATAGGAAATGTTTTTCATAAAAGTATGGTATAAGGCTATTTGAGGCCAAAAATAATAAATGTAATGGAACTACATTTACAAAGAAAATAAATTTCTGAATGTCATGCGAGATACCAAAGAATGTATTTTGTAGCAAGAAAATCCACTTAATTCTTAAAGCTAGAGTATCTGTGGGAATGAGGAGTAAGGAATAGCATCACTGTTGGTGGTTGGTAATATTTAATTACTTGGTCCTACTGGAGCATTAGAATACCACAGGGTCACCAAGACAATGGGGGGCTGTGGCTGTGGCTCAGCAGTAGAGCACTTGCCTAGCATGTGCAGGCACTGGGTTCGATCCTCAGCGACACATAAAAATAAATAAGATAAAGGTATTTTGTCCAACTACAACTAAAATATATTTTTAAAAGATTATGGGAAATACTGAATTATAGGGTTGCTTATCTGTTCTGGCTTCTAGGTTGCTTGTCTGTTATAGATTCAAACTGGCCCTTTGAAATATCAGGCCCCTCCCTTCATGAGGATACAATTCTATTTTTGTATCCTGTGGTATTATCTCTCTGTTCACTTTTTCATCTAAGGATAGTTCTGATGGTCCTCAGGTCTCTAGCTGAAGAATTCTTACTTCCAGTGTCTATGGACCAGATGGTCATATCTAGTTAGAAGCCTAGAATTTCCTGAAGTACTGGGTGGTGGCTCATTCAGTTGTTCTTTAACCTTGGGAATCCCAGGCGGTATTCTAACCTGTTTGGTTGGTTGCAGTAATTACCTTTTCCTCTTTTCCTATAGAAGTCCACAAGTTGAGGGTGGTCCTATGACTGGGTCTGGAGGAGAATTTGCTTTTCATGCCCTCTTGGATGAGTTTGACTTGTCAAACACTAAGGAATGTGGTATCCAGCCCTGAAGGAGGTCTGGTTGAAGACAGGGTTTGAGAATCAAACTTTTATATTATTATTCCTGACAGACATGAAAATATTTCTAAAAGCTGAAAACAGGAGTGGATCCCAGAGATTATAGAGAAAACTTATAGACCCAGAAAAAGTTGCTGTTTTCCTTTTAAAATACCCTCATGGAATTTATTTTGTGTTTTAAATGAGATAGGTGAATTTTCTAGTAGGCAATTATTTTTCCTTAACTAAATGACCACGTAGTATATTCTTTCCTTACTGATCATGTTATTTGCAATTCCATACATATATGCATCTGTTTAAGTCTGTGAAGGAATCCATTTTTCTATTCCTGTGGCAAATGTTTTGAAACTGTTACATATTCAGTGGAATGTTCCTAAAGGTGTAGGAATTTTTTTTAATTTAAAAAACATATCTGTGCAACAACCACCCTTGATAAGTTTCTTAGGCATCCCCTCTTCTTTGCTCCCGTTACATACCCAGAAAATGCCCTAGAGCTTGTGTCACCTGACAGTTTGATAGTTATTCCGTTGATGTCTTTAAATTTTACACAGATTTCTCTAGATGATATGCTTTTTTAAAATTGCCAGATTCTGAGTTTTCTATAAGTAGTATTGTACTGTATGAATTTTGTTATGGCTAAGTTTTGTAATATGGCCATTTATCTACAAAAGTTGGCTTACCGATTTGAGTTTTGTCGCCCTGACTTAACAAGTACCTGATCGGTCCTTGATAGGAGAGGGCACACAGATCAGTGTGGAGTGCAGGAATAAAGACTTGGCATCCCCAGCCCTCTTGCCATCGGTAGCCACAGTTCAGAGCCCTTTCTCATCTCAAACACCCTGCATTGCTTCACCACCGTCGTCCTTTATATTGAGCATCTCCTTGACTTGCAAAATTTGGGAGAACAAGATTGGTGTTCTATGTTGGTCCTGAAGATCCTATTCAAGTCCTTGAGAAAGAAAGACTGAACTAGCAGCTTTTCAGGGAGACTGAAACTAGCCCGTCTGCAATACGGACAATGTCTGGACGGTCTGTTGGTTCTTGATGCAGATGTCTCCTTTTCTTCCTCAGCCACCAGGCCCGCCTCCTTCCAGTTTAACGCCGTGGAACTACGTTACCCAGAAGGCTCTGCGCCGAGCCAGGCGTTTCCGGCGCCGGAGCGGTACTTCCTGCGTCGTGTGGGGCTACTCTTTTCGCTCCTCTGCTCGCGGGAGCGCTGGCTCTGCTGAGGTGTCGGGGGCGGGAGGACCGTGCAGGAGGAAGTCTTTGTCCCCTGTCAGAGCCCTGGGGCACGGCGACGCCGCCGTGAGCGCGCCCGCCGGGAGGGAGTCGGATGGCGGCGGCCGCGGCGCGGGTGAGCTGCGCGTGCTGGGCCCGGCCCGGGTCGGCTCCGCGCTCGGAGGGCGGGCGGCGGGCCTCTGGGAGTGCGGGCCACAGCGCGAGGGAATGAGTCCCCGCGGAGGGTTGTGAGCAGACAGGGACTCCTGGGGGAAGAGGCCGCTGCGGGCCGTAGGGTGCAGATGGCGGGTCCTGGAGGGACTTGGCCCAGGGCTGGCCGTGGGCAGGGGAGGAGTGATCAGAGTCCTCGGGGGGATTCCCTCGTGTATCACAGGGGTCTGAAAGAAAGTAGGGGGAGGGCCATCTCAGCTTTTTGTTTGCTTGTGTATATTTCTCATTTTTCCTGAGTAACTGGCAAATGGACATGGGTGAGTTTTTGCAGGGAGCAGGTTTCAGGGAGGTTAGGACTTAGGCTTTGGACACGATGGTCCCCAGATGTCCCAGAACCAGGATGGGAGCATCACTTGGGCAGCTTGCTCCTTCACATCTGGAGTTCTGGAGAGGGACTGGGCTAAGATAACTAAGAGGTGTTCAGTGGAGGCCTGAACCAGAGCCGGGCCTGGAGCTTACATTCAGTAGAGAAAATCTTACGTTTTTATTTCAGATGGTCCCTGAGATGAGGGAGGGCAGAGGTAGGCCTGGTGGGTAGGGCTGCCTTCTTAGGGGTAGAGTCCTGTGGTCTGAAGTGGTTCTGGTTGGCGTCTGTAAGAGTGGAAGTATACAGTATCCGGAGTCAGGACTGAAATGGACAACGAAGTGTTGGACAGTATAGATTTGTCACTCCAGGCTCAGCGTGCCTTAAGTGGCTACTCCCTGTGGAGAAGAGGAAAGTTTGTGAGGCTGATAGAGTATCCCTTTTGGTGCCTGAGTTCCCCCTACCTTAAGGGCAGAAGGGATGATCACCTGCCCCAATGGAAGGACCTCCCCTCCAGCAGAATTGCCTACTAGAGGGTTTATAACAGGCAGCTAGGTTGCCAACCCTACCCACTTGGTTTCCTCAGGCTCAGGTCCTATATTTATTGACTTTTTGAATTTATGAAATAGGTACTTATTTAAGCACTAATTGATCAAAATTCATACTTACACATGGGGCGGTTAAAACAGCATGGACTGTAAGCACTTAATACTTGGTTGAAAATTTAATATGGTGTTCAGCATTTGACTAAAATTAAATGTCTTGCTGGGAATGGTGGCAAACATCTGTGAACTCAGCTATTCCAGAGGCTGAGGCAGGAGGATCCCAAGTTCAAGGCTATCCTTGATCACTTAGACCCTGTCTAAAAATTAAAAAAAAAAAAAAAAGACTGGGGATGTAGTTCAGTGGTACAGCACCCCTGGATTCAATCTCCAATTTGAAAACAAAAACCCAAACAATAAAAATACACAATCAACTAATGTCCTAATATTTTAAATATCAAATTCTTATTTCAAAGGTGTATTTAAAAAACATCCTACGTTACCAAAACCTTCTACGTTATCAAAACCTACCAGTTTGTTTGCACTGAAACTATTGATAGTAGCATTATGTGCACAATAGAGTACTTGACACATATGAAGGAGTTTGACTAAATAATACTCCTATTGGATGGGCACCATTATTATTCCTATGTTACAGATGACAACATTGATGCTTAGGAAGGTTGGATACTTGTTCAAGGGCACATAGCCGGTAAGAAACCATAAGACTTAGGCCCCAGATGGTAGGTGGTTAGGCACACCTGGCTCCAGGATACGTGAGGGAACTTGAAAGGTCCTTTGAGATGCCAGTATTATTACCTGCTTCTCACATCCTTGCTTTTCCATAGATTCCTATGGCTGTAGAATCACTTACAGATGATGAATAGGTATGTATAGGTGCCCCAGGCCTCACCCTCTTCAGTTCCCACCTATATGGTTTCTGGGATTGTCTTGTCCTGGGACTCTTCTATTCTAACCTTCTCTCTGCATTCCCTGAAAGGTGGTCATGTGGTATCAGGGCCTGAGTCCAGATCAGGGATTATATGGAGAGGTTCCCATTCCTGGAAACCATTGGCATGAGAGTCAGAAGTTATTAAGACTATAGTGATCAATATTAGAAAATGCTTTGAGCTGAGATTTTTCCAGGAGTGCTCAGGCAAAGCTAGTTTTTCATTATGTTGGGTGGAATGTTCGGAGGCAGGAGCTGGGCATCTATTCTGAGATGTAAAGGAGGTATAGTGCAAAGAGTGATATGCATGTCTGGAGAGTGTATATGGATGGCCCTAAGGTCCTTGTACCGAGGGCATAAGGGACAAGTGACCCAAATCTGGCCATATTTGAGAAGCATAATCTGAAGGATTGCAGTAAATTGTCTGGCAGGACAAGGACAGGACTCTGCACATCTACCCCAGAGATCAGATGGACTCTATCCACATGCCTCTTATTGCCCTGTGCCAAATACTGTGGTCAGTGGAAACTTGAGAGACTGGGCATCCATGGCTCCAGAGCCTGATATCTCCCTTGAGGTAGGGGGTAAGGAAGAGAGTAAGTAGAAGTGGATTTGGTGGAGAATACTGAGAGTTCCAGGAAAGGAGGCTACATATAAACTCAATTTTCCCCATGTGACAGGGTTATGTGACCTTTGAGGATGTGGCTGTCTACTTCTCACGGGAGGAATGGAGACTGCTTGATAATGCTCAGAGACTCCTGTACCGTGAAGTGATGATGGAAAACTTTACACTTGTGACCTCTCTGGGTAAGGTCTTTCTCACCATCACAGCATCCTGCGCAGGGTTTTCCTCAAGGCAGATGTATCCTAGGTCATGGGCACTGCTGCTTTCTCCAGTGATCTGGAGTAGGTATTGTAGGTAGTAGGCCTGGGCTGGTACATTACCACGTTCTCTCCACAAACTATCCCAAAGCCATGCAGGGAAGGATTTGAGGATCGGGAGTCTTGTAGTCAGCCTAATGGCTCTCACCCTGTTGGCCTCTCAATGGCCTGGTGATGCTGGGTAAATCCATGGCAGTTCTGTGTCCCAGATTCTGTCCTCTTCCTCTAGCTGACTGACCTGAGGTCTGCCTGTGCCAGGAACTGAGGCCATGATGTGGTCACAACTCTCCTGGGTTGTTTGCAAGACATTCCTCCAAGATTCTTTTTGTATTAGTTTTCTTTCCTGTGGTTAGTTGTGAAATGGGTTCTCTGGTCCAGCGTTCGTCACTTACCTGTCCTGTCTTTTCCTTAGGACTTGAATTTTCTAGGACATGTGAAATCACTCAGCTGAAGTCATGGGGAGATCCCTCCATTCCTGCACAGGGAGTTATGACTCCAGCCATGCTGAGGGGTATTTGGAGGGTAGAGCTGAGGAAGATGTGAACTCAGGGATGGGGTCATATCAAGACTCTTTTAGTGCTTCTGATATTTTGGTGGCTAAGGCACGGGTAACTTCCATCTTATCTTCTACATTTTCCTGCTTAACATTTCAGTTATTTGACCCGGGGCTATCCCCCACCTCTGTCTTTCATGTTTTACCCATTCTTCTGTAGCATTTGCCAGCAAAGGCTTTTGCTGAATGTGTTGTGAGGTGAGCATTTATCTGAGTAGTCCTTGGACACAGACTCTCCAAATGCAGTCAGTCTGGGGGGATTTGGACATACCCTATGGACTGTGTTCCATGTCTACAGCAGTTGAGGCCTCACAGAAAGCTGTTTGCAGGCAAGTATGTTGAGAACCTTGCTCATCCTACCTGTGCTGTACCCCATTATATGTCATTGATACCCATGAGGCCTCCCCAACATGGGAGTTTGCCAGGTTTAGCAGTTCACAGTGAACTCCTTCCTGCCTGACCTAGCCCCCTCATTCTCTCAGAAATACCAGGGACTCTTTACTGGGATACCTGACACACATTTGTGAGTGTGCTGCTGCTCCCACTAGAGTCATGCTCTTCATCAGCATCTTTCTGCCTTCAGGTTGTTGGCATAGAGCAGAGACTGTGGAGGCTTCTTCTGAGCAGAGAGTTTCCACAGAAGGAGTGCAAAGTGAAAACCGTCACCAACATCAGAAGCTGTGCTGTGGAGAGAAACCCTTAATAAGAGAAGAGGGCAGGGTCCCCGTTTTGAGGGGCTGTAGAATCCACCTGTCAGAGAAGCCTTTGCAAAGCAGGAAGGATGGGAAAGATTTTACACTCAGCTCAAGTCTCCAGATGACTCACCGTAAAGCGGAGCCTCCCAGGAGCACTGGGACTGCAGAGGCCGTTAATTTTGGGAAAAGGCACTACCAATGCAGTGAGTGCGGGAAAGCTTTTGGTCAGAAATATTTGCTTGTTCAGCACCAGAGACTACACACTGGAGAAAAGCCTTATGAATGTAGTGAATGTGGAAAGCTATTCAGCCATAAATCCAACCTTTTTATACACCAAATAGTTCACACCGGAGAAAGACCTTATGGGTGCAGTGAATGTGGAAAATCCTTTAGCCGAAATGCTGACCTCATTCAACACCGCAGAGTTCACACTGGTGAAAAACCTTTTACGTGTAGTGAATGTGGAAAGGCTTTCAGGCATAATTCCACACTTGTTCAGCATCACAGAATCCACACTGGAGTAAGGCCTTATGAATGTGGTGAATGTGGGAAGTTCTTTAGTTTCAACTCCAGCCTCATGAAGCATCAGAGAGTTCACACTGGAGAAAGACCTTATAAGTGCAGTGAATGTGGGAAATTCTATAGCCACAAGTCCAGTCTAATTAATCATTGGCGAGTTCATACTGGGGAAAGACCTTATGAGTGCAGTAAATGTGGGAAGTTTTTTAGCCAAAGCTCAAGTCTCATGCAACATCAAAAAGTTCATACTGGAGAAAAGCCTTTTAAGTGCAATGAATGTGGAAAATTCTTTAGTGAAAATTCCAGCCTAGTTAAACATCAGAGAGTTCACACTGGAGCAAAGCCTTATGAGTGTAGAGAATGTGGGAAATTTTTTCGCCACAGCTCCAGCCTTGTTAAACATCGGCGGATTCACACTGGAGAAATGCCTTATGAGTGCAATGATTGTGGGAAATCGTTTAGCCAGCGTTTCAACCTCATTCAGCACCAGAAAGTTCACATTAGAGAAAAGTCTTGATGCTTCAAATGTGGGTAAACCTTTATCCACACCTCCAACCTTTCCACAACCCTGGAGAGGACACAAAACTAAAAGGCATTATGAATGCAGTTAGTGTGGAAAAGACTTCAATCAAAGGTCTGTTCTGACTCAGTGGCATAAACGTCACAGCCCAAATAAATCTTATCAACACCGTGAATGTGGAGGAAGTCTTAAGCCAGTGGTGTAGACTTGTTCCATACCAGGAAGTTCAAACTGGAGAAAGGCCTTAGTAGTGACTTAACAGAGAAGTACCAGGGACTGAATATCACTCATTCCAGACATGTACACTGAGAGAAGGATGAGAATTGCTGCCACCATGCTTCTCCCAAGAATATGGTCCTCTGCCTGTAGGCTCTAGGGAGAAGAGGAACTTGTACCCTTGGCTACACAAGGTGGAGTTTCCATCTAACTAAGCAAGGAGGCAGGGAGGAACAGAATGTCTTGGTTCAAGTAAGACTGACTCTTGCTCTTCATACTGAATGTTAGATTTTCCTAAATAAATATTTCGTGTATACCTTGAGGACCATTTTCAGAAGACTCTCAATTGTATTTTTTATATTTCATCAGTTTTCCTGGGAACATGTCTGTAAAACTCTTCACACTCTCATGTTAGAAGTTAGTCCAAATATTAAGTTTTTAAGAGCCTGTCAAGTGGTTATTTGTTTTCACATCTCCTCCAAGAATATATCACATTATCAGTTCTTCATATCCTTCCTGACACTTTCTAATTCATGGACTATTCATTTTAGTCATTCCAGTAGGTATGCAGTAGTATTTTGTTGTGGTTTTAATTTCTTTTCCCCTAATGGGTCATTGTTGCATTTTTTCATGTGTGTCATCTGTATACCTTGAGTGAAATGTCTGTTCATTTTTTTTGTCTGTTTAAAAAAATTACTTGTTTTTTTTATGATTGTTTTGAAATTTTATTAATATTTTTGGATGCAAGTATTGCCTATGTTTTCTCACAATCTTTGGCTTTTGTGTTTACTTAACAGTATCTTTCCTAGGGCAGAATTGCTTAATTTTCATGAAGTCAAATTTATCTATTTATTCCATTATTGTGTACTGGTACTTCATTCTCTTTCTTTTACTATACTGTATCTTTGCCTTTAAATATTCATTCTTGTAAAATATTTGTACATTTAAGTCCAGATGAAGAATTTATGTAGAAATGTTTACATGTGCACATATCCTCTATTCTAAAACAACCTAGCAAGCAATTGCATTCCAGTAGTTATAGGCATATTTAATATCCAGTTATTAGTTTGAAATTATATATATATACTGGGGATTGAACTCAGGGGCACTTGCCCACTGATCCACATTCCCAGCCCTATTTTGTATTCTATTTAGAGACAGGGTTTCACTGAGTTGCTTAGTGCCTGGCATTTGCAGAGGCTGGCTTTTAACTCTCATCCTCCTGTCCCAGCCATCCAAGCTGCTGGGATTACAGGAATGCACCATTTTGCCCAGCTTGAAATATAATTTTTATTTAATTATTTATTTTTAAGTATTTTTTAGTTGTAGAATGACAATACCTTTATTTTATTTATTTATTTTTATGTGGTGCTGAGGATCGAACCCAGGGCCTCACACATGCTAGGCAAGCACTCTACCACTGAGCCACAACCCCAGCTCCAAAATATAATTTTTAAATTAAAGGAAACTGGGTCCCTTAGGGAAGAGGTTATTTTCAGGATGTGGCAGGAAATGTACAACAGGAGCTTAGACATATTTTTGCATATTAGAAAGTAATGTAAACAGAATAATATTTATGTATTAATTTTCTATTGCTGTCCTTATAAAGTATGACTTAAGCAACACAAACTCATTATTTAACAGTTCTGAGGGTCATAAGTACAACACAACACAGATTTCACTGGGATAAAATCAAAGTATTAAAGAATTGTATTCCTTTCTGAAGTCTCTAAAATTTGTTTCTTGCTCATTTTAATTATTGGCATATTTCAGTTCTTCATGGTTATAAAATGAGATCTGGACTTTCTCATGACTGATGAAGAATGGGGAGCTATAACCTAGATTAAACATAAACATAAACTTAGATGTGCCAGTGCTTCTCTGGCCTTCTTTAAAGACAATAACATCTTGACTATGGAATAATGTGTCCACATTTACAACCCATGAATAGATGAGTCTCCTTAAAGCCATCAGAGGGAATTTTGTTTTGTTTTTGGTAGCATGTATTAAACCCATAGGTGCTTTACCACTGAGTTACATCCCCAGCCCTTTTTATTTTTCATTTTGAGATAGGGTCTCACTAGTTGTTTAGGGCTTGGTTTTAAACTCGTAATCTTCCTGCTGTAGCCTCCTGAGCCACTGGGATTACAGAAGTATAACACCATCACTTTATGTGACTCCAACTTCACCATCTGTCTACTTTAATATAGTTTCACGTTTATATTCAAAATGTGAGTGGAAAATAAAGACCTATAAAAATGGAGTATTACACTTTAATAATGGTAAAATGTTCATAATCTAGGGGCTGAAGGTGTGGTTCAGTGGCAGAACACTTGCCTAGCATGTGTGTGCCCCTGAGTTTAAGTCCCACACCACACCAAGAAATGTTAATGTAAAAATGAGTTTAAAAATCATGTTATACAACCAATAAATGTAATTGTAATGAGCATAAATCTATGCTTTTAATATTTAATGGCATTTTCAACTGGTTATATGATTTTGGTTGATTTTTAAAACCTTTATATTAACCTGTATTTTCCACATTTACTAGAGTGAACAATGTTTATTGTACCTTGAACTTTTTTTTTTTAATTCAAACTCAGGATCTTTCTGCCGTGGCCTCCAGACTAGCTGGGAATACTAGGCATTTGCCACCTCATGAGGCTTAAAATAAAAAATGTCAAATGTGTAGTAGGTTATTAATTATAAGTGCTTAAATCAGTTTTATAAAGATTTTTAAAGTGATAACCTAGTAGGACTGACAGATGAATAAAACACAATTAATGATGAAGGAAAGATTGAGACAATCGATTATTAAAAACATTAAGTAATTTTGTGTGTCAAGAGTTTTACCAATTTATGTGAAATGTACATATTTCTTCAAAAATAACTTAAGAAAACAACAACAAAAAACTTGAATAGCCTATATATATTTAAGAAACTAATTGAAAACATTTTCGCCCAGAAATAATTAAAGGCCTAAGTACTTTTCACTGGTGAATTCTACTAAACATTTTTTTAAAAAAATAACAGCATGGACTGGGGATGTGGCTCAAACTGTAGCGTGCTCGCCTGGCATGCGTGCAGCCCGGGTTCGATCCTCAGCACCACATACAAACAAAGATGTCGTGTCCCCCGAAAACTAGAAAAAAAAATAGATTTTAAAAATTCTCTCTCTCTCTCTCTCAAAAAAAAAAAAATGTAAACAAAAATAACAGCATAATAATACATTATTTGAGAGAACAGAAGGAAGACTTCCAACTCATTTTAAGAGGTCAACATAAGTGTCCAGACTACCACAAAGGCAGAGGAGGGCAGGTCGCAGGGTGAGCTGGGCTCATCCCCCTCCAGTGAGTACACCTGAGGAGTTATCACAGCACTATTCTGCTGATTCATAGGGTGAGAATCGAAACACCCTTAACTAAATATATTGCAAATGAAATTCAATAAAAAATAAAACAGAAAAAATATGGACCATTAGATTTTTATCATGAAAATGTGGCTATTTGACCGCTGAAGAGTCAGTCTTCACCCCCTTTACTTTCCTCCTGCAGCCGGAGCCTGTTAGAAGAAGCCTGAGCACCTCCCTCCTCGCCTTAAACCTGTGCTTCCCACCTGCCTCAGGCTCGCCTCCTGTTGCTACTCGGTGGCTCCTGCCCTGCTCTCTGCTCACAGGACAACACTGACCACCATGCCCGCTAGGAACGCTATCTTGGGCTTGGCCCTGACCTCACTCACCTGGCTCTACAGGGTCCCATCCTCCCGGCCTGGATTAAGGACCCTCGTCCAGACGGCCCCCTTCTGGGAGTCCCCATCAGGGAGGGAGGGGGCCCCCTTCTGGGAGTCCAGA